TCCATACACTGAAGCCATGTCTTGAAAAGCCAAACAAATGACTCTGTATCTTCGTGTGCAATTAAGCCGCAACCAAGAAGTACTGATTGCCCATGATGGTTTACACCTACGAAAGGAGCAAACCGCAATTCATACTTGTTAGTCAAGTATGTAGTGTCAAATGTCACAACATCACCAAAGGATTTGTAACACTGACGACACCTATTGTCCACCCAAAACACATTTCTAAGCCTTGATTCTTCGTCCACATCCATGCTAAAGAAAAACCCGTCATTCTTTGCTTGCATCTTGTTAAAATATCCTTGTATTGCCTCTGCATCTCCGAGGCCAAGTCTTAATCGTCTAAACTCTTCAATGTAATTTCGACAATCCTTCTCTATAAAGCCAAGTTCTTCATATCCACCCGCTTCCACAACAACCACTTGAAAACTCTTGTGCAAGGGAATTCCTGCCTTGTCATTAACCTCAAGCTGCTTTTTAACACTAGCAGGCACACTACGATTACAACGATATATTCTAGATTTAATAGGACTTAAGTCATGGTTATGCAATAACTGCACAACGGATATCTTCCATATTCCATCACCATCACATGACGCAGTTACTCTTGCTTCACATCCCAATTGCATTGTCGGCCTCGGGTGGAACACATCTTGTGTTTTGCTCTTTTTTTCCTTGTCGACTGCACACAAATGTAACACTTCTAGGAGTTCCATCTTTGGCTTTGCGAGTTGTCCTCGTCCGCATTGGAAATCCTACACTTCGAGCATAAGCCAGATAGTGTTCTCGAATTTCTCCAATGCTTGTAAACTTCATCCCCACTTCAGGCACACTACCTTTGTTTCCTTTAGAAAGGCATTGACCATTGTTCCGGACATCATTGTTAATGTCATCTGTGTTCTGTGGAATCTCACCACTTGCCTGTTCTTGCCCTTCGTCATTAAATAAATACTCAAAGCAAGGATCGTTTAAAAACAAATCTGATTCAACAGCTGCAAAAAACAGCACCTTTAATATAATAAAATACCTGACTATGAAGAAAACAATAATACACCTAATGCAGAGTGCATACAGATAATTAGCGTCTGTGACAAGGACAAACCCTAGATTCACAGAACTTTAATTTCTGTAACACGAAAACAAAACAGTTTTTTTTCACTAATCAAATGAATATAGAATTGGGTCTAAATATCAACACTTACAACTGGGCAGCAACTCATATAAAACCAGGTCTTCTTCTTCACCACCAAATAGTACACCAACGAGTAAGAGTTGTACACATTGTTATCTACAAACATTCAGGTATTAGTGGTTTATAGGATACATGAGATGTTTTTAAGTTTTTTAATAACGGTATCTTTAACTGATTTTTACCTTACTTCTCTTCTCTAACTGTCTCCTTAACAGCACCTACAGGGGTTGGCGCATCAGAGATATGAAGAGGAAGATAGGACAAATAAGAGATTACCTGAAGTCTTGTAAGAAGAAGAGCGCAGAAAAGGGAGGAGAGAGCGCCTCGCTGCCGCGGAAGAGGAGAGCCAGAGCGACGCAGAGGAAAGGAAAAAGATAAGAAAAAAAAGAAGGAGAAAAGATAAAAAAACACTTTATATAGGGAGGCAACAAAGGAGGTAGGGGTGAGTGCACTGTAGCACGGTCCAATTATTATAGGTCGAAGGCATGGACCAAAATGCCATATTCCACCAAACACTTTTCTTTTCTCTCCTCTTCATAAATTTGGTCCAATATCCTTTCTCATGAATGGGAGCCGTACCGGAAAGCTTAAAGCAATTTGGGGGTATTTAATTAGCTAGCTAGCGAAGCTGATCAGTGCCCCCGCCCCTTCTTTCCTATATACTCGATCGGATCAATTAAGCAGATATTATGAACCACTTTCCCCTTCTCTCATTCTCTCTCTAACCTTAATTCCCCCACTTCTTCTATTCCTTCATCTCCCCTCTGCGTTCAATGCTTTTCTCCTTCCCTCATCCATATATAAGCGCTTGAAGGTGCCTTAAACCTTCCCTAGTTGATACGTGAGTAGTGTATCATATCACATTATTCTCCTCTCCCAGGGGCGGACCCACATAGGGTCACACGGGATCAAGCGACCCCACGAAAATTTTAAATTTTTTAGTATATATTTATATATATATATATATATATATATATATATATATATATATATATATATATATATATATATATAATTTTTTTGTGTATACCTAGATTTAGTATATATTTTACAAAACGCTAAAAGTTTTAACCTGCTAGCGTTGTAAGAGTGGAAATATCAATGGTTTTCTTACGGGTGGATGGTACTGTGTTCGAATCCAGTTTTAGGGAGACGATACATTTAATTTTTTGGAAGATGGGTATCTAAAACTGGGTTGTTTTGTTTCTTTTTTTTTCTTCAATTTTCTCTAAAACCTATAGTTTCAATCCACCCATCCCACTTCGGCACTTTCCCGGACCTAATTGCAAAATCGGAAGTTGAGACTGACCCATCCTCTCTCGCCCACGGCCGACTACAAACCTCCGCCAGACCACCGACCACCGCTTGGAAGTTGGAATCGACGAGGACCCCCAAGGCCCTAATTTCTCGAACAAATCTTCTCTTTGCCAGGTTTTTTCTTACACAATTGATACTAATTATCTAAATTGGATATTTCTTTTTTATTTGTAAATTGTGAAAATTTTAATTAATTGTTATAAATTTGTTATTGTGAATAGCAAAATAGGAAATTGAATTTGTTTATTTATTTTGTAAGATTGTGATTTGTGAATATGTTAATATAGTTTGGTTATGTACTTATGGTCTTATGTACTTATATTTTAAGTTTATAATGTTTTTAATTATTTAAATTTCAATATAGGATGCAAAAGTGTTTTAAAAAGGCACCAATATTTAAAGAGAAAGAATCGAGTGAGAATCTATCAAATTTGAACGCAAATACTTTGTCATGTTTAAATCATCCACCGGAAACATCAAATTTGAATCCAAATATATCATCATCTTTGGATTTTGAATCATTAAAGGCTGATCCGGGACTAATCTTTGGATTTTGAATCATTAAAGGCTGATCCGGGACTAAGAAAGATAATTATGGATTATCATCCAAATGTACAAGATGAAATTCGTTGTTCTTATATGAAAAAGGGTCCTTTTCAACCTAAAGCTCATAAGTTTCTTGTTATAGTAATGTCAGATTATGAATTTGTGAAGTTTGTGAAGAATGAAGTTCGAAACAAAATTCGTGACCAATGGTTAAATGATTGAATTGTCTAGTGACATATATTAAAAGAGATGTCTTTGCTAGTATTAGCAATGATAAAATAATAAATCACTTTCAAAATATGATAACTAGACGTTATCAATTGTAAGATGTATTTCACATTTGCAATGTAGAACTATTTTTAATTAGTATTTTCAATAATATATACGTAGTATAAACTTTAATGTATATGTATTATAAATTTTCTGGGTGCGACCCCATGGTATAAATGTTTTGGGTCCGCCCCTGTCCTCTCCTTTCCATATCTCTTCTTCTTGAATTGGCAAAAGAATGAAGGGTCATTATTGTTTAGCTTTGGCGGCGGCGTTTCTCATCGTGGCGGTTGCAGCGGCAAGGGGTGCACTGGCGGCCGCCACGGACAGGCAGAACGACCTGACTCTCCGGCTGCAAAGGGCCGCCGCCGCGAAGAGGGCCATCTCCGACATCACCCACCCGTATGTCGCGAGGAGAATGCCGAATTACGGCTCACCTCGCGGCATCCCCCCGTTCGCGGTTCCCAACTCCGACACCACCATGGGGGGCATCGACTTCACCCTCAACACCCACTGGGGCACCCACGCCGATGCTCCCGGCCACTTCAACCAGACGCTACTTGACCAGGGATACGATGTCAACCGTCTCAATCTCACCACCTTAAACGGTACCTAACTACCTACTAATATTCCTTAGTAGGTATAATTTTATGATATTTTTTTAAGATAAAAGTTGCAGTTTTAAATATTATGCACATGTATTATGTCATTATTTTAAAAGCATGGTTATATTTGTTTTTGAAAAATAAACTAAAGTGAAAGTAAAATTTGTACTAAATAGGACTAAAATATAATGACTTTCCCAATGTAGGACTTAAACTTTTTTATTCCTTAAATATGACTTAATAATGACCTAGTTGGAGAAATAATGTCTAATAATGATGGACATTTACTTGAATAATGACTATTTGATAAAGACCAAAGGTCCTACATTGAGAAATAAAAACATATGGTCCTATATTGGGAAAGTCATTATGTTTTAGTCCTATTTAAATAAATATCTCAAGTGAAAATGGGTGAGTGGTATTGTAACTTTATACCTCGGATGGAGGTTTTGTATTTAGAAGAGGTAATAATAGTTAATCTTATATAACCATGCTTTTTAAAATAATGACATAATTATGTAGATTAAAAAAATTTAAACGTTGAAATGCATATGGGTCGTAAAATACTTAATTAGAAAATAAAAATTTTTATACAAAATTATGAGTCACTAAACGTAATGATAATTAAAGTTATTTTTATAATGAATGAAAATTAAAATAGCATATGCCAAAGTTTTTAAATTAAAATTACAGTTTTTTTGAAAAGTAACCAAATTAAATGAAATAAACAGTGCATGGTTTTAGAAAGTACTTATCTAAATCGTGTTTGAATTAATAAAATATACTCCGTATATTTTAAAAATAGTAACCTAATATTGTGCATCATGGAATCATTTAGTTGATGTTGTGTAGTCTTTTAGCGGATCTCGCATTAATATCATCCTTTATTTAGTACAAATTTAATGTGGACAAGAAATTCAAAAAGAAGGGAGGAAAAGTTTAAAAAAAAACAACTAGAGAAAATATTGAATGCAGTGTCGGAGAGTGGGTATAGTTATAATGACTTGAGAAAATAATTGGAGTGCACATAGTAAATGTTGGAGTGTAAATAAAACTACCCCATAATTAGGTCAAACGTGAAGCTAATGTTTTTTATTTTTTGTTAAATGTTGGCGCGCAGGCCCTTGTTGGGTGGTGGACACTCCTCGAGACCAGAACATCACCGATGAGGTGATGAAGCGGTTGAACATACCCCGAGGAGTGACCCGAGTCCTCTTCAGGACGCTCAACACCGACAGGAGGTTGATGAGCCAACCCACTTTCGATTCGAGCTACACCGCCTTCACCACGGACGGAGCTCGCTACCTCGTCTCCCACACCGACATAAAACTTGTTGGTGAGTAGATACTTACTCCAATTCCATATTAACTGTCCATTATTTCTTGTTACATTGAAAAATTAATGAATGTAGACATACTTTATGTCTACATTCATTCATATCTCAATGTACCAAGAAAATCATAATGAACAATTAATATGGAATGGAGGAAATACTCATTACCATTAAATTTTTGACCAGATTTTATATCCTTTGTATGTGTGAATTGTGAATTGTGATAATTAAATGTAGGGATTGACTACCTCTCTATGGGTATTGGGGAGTGGGAGGAGGTGAAAGGGGTCCACCTCACCTTTTTGAACGCCAAGGTAATTAAATCAAACTTTAGCAGCTAATTATACCTAGCTAGCTGGTACGAATTTTAATTTAATTACATTATCTGATTTTAATTAATATGAAATTTTGTTTTGCAGGACATAATCCTGGTGGAGGGTTTGAACCTGGACCATGTAGCCCCAGGGACGGCGTACACCGTCAACTGTCTGCCGTTAAGCTTGCCGAAGTTTGACGGGTCGCCGGTGCGGTGTATGTTGACCACCAACGACTCCTCATCCAGGCCTTCAGTGTCTCCCTAGGCCTTTTTCTCTTTTCATTTTTTTTATTCTAGTTTAATTAATTATAATGTAAATGTGAAATTGCATTCCTTAATTAGTCATTAATTTAAAATTGCTGGTACTATTTCTACTGGGGAACATTGATTCTTTCGTATTGTCTCTCTGTCTCTATTACGGAGTGTTATTTTCGTTTTGGTGCCATAAATGATTTAATTTACTCCGGAGCCAGTTACTTAATTAGAGAATATTTGAGTTTATAAAATTTGTAAAGTACGGATTATTGAAAAGAATTTGCTCTTTTTTAACTTAACAATAAATCTCTTCATGTACTATGTCAATTTAGAAAAACTACGTCAAGACTAGACCCGATCACAAGCTCGAATATCTGGCCTGGCCGCAAAATACTATTGGTCGAATGTTTTTTTTTCAATTACACTTAAATATATAACAACCATTATCAAGCTAAGGCAATATCAATTAAAAAAAGACAGTCACAATTATTAATGTCTATTACATTCTCATTAATATCTCTCATCATTAATCAATGTTTTTAATTGTTACCATGTTCATGCAAAGGAAAATATAAACAAACGAATCAAAGAAGAAGAGAATTGATCAAAGGAAGAGAAAAAGATACAAAGATGTTTTTAGTAAATGGAATATTATTAATAACTACTTAATTAAAATGTCAGTTTTGAAAAAAAAACGTGTTCTGTACCATTTGAGAAAAACAATATGTGTGATATTTTGATACTCCCTCCGTCCCATTTTAAATTGTCTGTTTTCCTTTTTTCTCCGTCCCAAAATAAGTTGCCTGTTAGTTGTTTTCGTAAACTTTTAAAAATAAAAAACTTAAACTACCCCTAAAATAAGTCACACTTCTTCACCTTATCTTCTCATTCATCATCACTCCTTCTAAAAAGTATTGTCAATTTATAAAAATCAACTCTAATTTTTATTTTCTTTAAATATGCTCAAAAGTCAAAACAGACGATTTAAATTGGGACAAAGGGAGTACTACTTTGAGCTTCACATATAATTTACCAAGTATGGTTGAAAAGATGGATAAAATATGTGGATAAAACACTAATAATTGTATGGACCATGCTACACTTACACCAAAAAATATACCCCATTTGTACACCACAGGTTTGCACAAACATTTCGATGGTTTACACCGACACAAGTGTTGGTGCGTTAATAAAAATTCAAACGGACACAAATGTTGGTGCGTTTAACAAAAATTAGTTTACACTAACACAAAGTGTTGGTACAAAACTGTGGGGTACAAATTGGGGTACAAACCTTGGGGTACATGTAGCATAATCCTAATTGTATCTAAAATAACATTTAACCATCCAAATTATACCAAATGGTTTGCAGAGTCTAATTAATATGATGAGATACGAAGTAATGGAAGAAATAAAATGTTAACTCAATTGATGGATGATGTGAAGGCACCAACAAAGTTAACGGCACAATGAGCCACACACGGTCACACCACCAATCACCGCATCAGCCGTTGATCTCAGGTCCAGATGAGAGCAGTCATTGTGAACATTATTAGCATCCATCCCACCATGCTGCATATACATATATGTGTGTATGTGTGTGCATATATATATATATACACACACATATATATACACATACATATATTGAGTTATACATGTGTATGTATGTGTGTTTATATATATATATATATATATATATATATATATATATATATATATGTAGAATTTGATAAGAGGGAAAAAATATTCTGTATATTGAATTGTTCTGCTAAGTACAAGGAGTTTCTCCTTTATTTATAGGAGAGGATAAAGACCAAAACACAAAAGGAATTCTATTCCTACAAGGAAACAAATCACTAAATATGAACAAGGAAACAAATCAAGAGCAATCCCACTTAGAATGGGATTTGCTCTCCTTCTTGCCGTGTGGTCCAAGGAGCACCGCCCAACACCCCCCCTCAAGCTGGAGCATGCGGATTCTGGATGCCCAGTTTGGACAGCAAATGGGAAAATGGAGCGGAAGCCAAAGCCTTTGTAAAGAGATCTGCCGGTTGTTCATTGGTGGAGATGTGGCGAGTACACAAAACACCTCGTTGGATTTCGTCACGCACAAAGTGGCAATCAATTTCAATGTGTTTCGTACGCTCATGGAAGACAGGATTAGCTGCAATATGGAGGGCTGCCTGATTATCACAAAACAACCGCATGGGTTGTTTGTGACGCACACCAAGGGAGAAAAGCAGGGATTTCAGCCATTTTAGTTCACAAACAGTGGTTGCCATAGCCCTGTATTCGGCCTCAGCCGAAGATCGGGAAACGACACTTTGTTTCTTTGTTCGCCAAGAGACCGGAGAATCGCCAAGAGTGATAAAATAACCAGTAACAGAACGTCGAGTCAAGGGACACCCAGCCCAATCAGAGTCACAGAAAGCTTTAAGGGTAAGATCACTCTGTACTGGAAGAAACAATCCTTGCCCGGGACAGGCCTTGATGTACCGTAGAA